CGTGCACGACAGTAGTCTCGGAGAAGACGAGAGGAGAACTCCCCACCACAGTCAGAGTGCAGACGCAGAACAGGAAAGTCCGAGCCGAAGCTCCTCCTGAGCTGGAGACGAGCCTCGCGGATTCAGTCGATCAGCACCGCAGTGACATCACCCTTGCTGCGCAAGGGGAAGACTGTGGTGTAATGCATGTAGTCGTCAACCACCAACAGGAAGTAGCGCTCGTGACCCTGCCCACGGACGCGGGCCGGGCCCCACACGTCTATGTGAAGCGTCTGCAGAGGAGCCTCTGTCGGGGGAAACTGGGAGGAGTGAGGAGCAGCCCTGAGGCGCCCCTCGACACAGGGGACACAGGAAGGTCCTGGACCAGAAGGAAGGGGAGGGAGAGACCGGGGAAGACCTGAGACAAGGACACGGGAAGCCATGCCCCGAAGACGGGACAGGGAGGGGTGGCCAAGACGGTGGTGCCAGAGGAGAGTCTCGTGAGACAGGAGGCGACACGAACAAGGGGCAGACTCAGGGCCAGACCGGGACGCAGCAGCAAACACCTGACCTGACGCTGCTACCTGACCAGACGGAGGGACAGTAGGAGACTCAGTGGTCAGGGTGTAGAGGCTCGACCCCGGCCGACGCGAGAACGTGGCCAGGTGCCGGCCTGTGCGTGCGTCCGTGCAGTGGGTCACCCGCTGACTCGCAGGAGTGAACTGGTGAACCCCCGCATCCTGTAGGTCCGCACCACTCACCAAGTTCGTCGAGAACGAGGGAAGGTACAGACCAGACAGGGTGCCCGAGGGGGCAGCCGGACACGGGAGGATAGTGGAAAGGTGAGAGAGGACAGGACCCCCAGAGGGGTCAGCCAGGGAGACCGCGACCGGCCGACCAAGCGGCGTGAGGGTTGTGCGGTCTCGAAAGAAGGAGCGAGAAGCCCCTGAGTCAAGTGTGAAAGTGAGGGAGGACGAAGGCGACGCAGTACCTGAGAGCGCAGTCTCACCAGTACCTGAGAGCGCAGACGCACTAGCACCTAGAGCAGCAGCCTCACAAGCACCTAGCGCAGCAGTACCAATGCCCAGGTCGGGCGGGAAACACCGGTAACAGTCACCCTCCTCACTAATAGTCACAGCATACATAGCTGCAAGAATAGCATCAAAGTCAAGATCAAAGATCGCTACACCAGCCCTAGAAAGCTCATCCGAGCGGGGAATCTCACTAGCCTCGGGGAACTGCTGACGCCAAGCATCCGTCAGGCGGCCAAAGCAGCACTGGGTGGGGTGGGCACCCCCACACTGCTCACCAGTGCGGTCGCCGGAACGAAGGACGTAGGTGCACGGACCAGCACCCCCACCCCTCTGACGTCGAGTGTACCACTCACGAAGCTGCTGGGGCGGAGGGATGTCCCGCGAACGCTGCTGCTGCTGCTGCTGCTGCTGGCGCTGACCACTACCAGCGCCGCTCCGCTGCGGGGCACCACCCCGACCAGCTCCACCTCCTCCGCCAGCACCTCCTCCTCTTCCGCCTCCACCACCGCCACCACTCCCACCGCTGCCGCCACCACCGCCGCCTCCTCCGCCGCTGCCACCACCACCACCGCCTCCGCCACCACTCCCGCCGCCACCCCCACTCCCTCCGCCGCCTCCACCGCCACCTCCACCGCCTCCTCCAGCTCCACCCGCACCCTTGCCCCCCTTGCCCTTGCCAGAGCGGCGTCTCCCACTAGGGGCAGACGCCGCGCCGACCGACTCAAGACCAAGCAGGTCGGCAACAGCAGCAGAGGCAACAGAGGGCAGCAGGGGGGAAGGAGAGCACCCCTCAAAGATGGGGGTGCGAGGGTCACCACGAGAAACCCCTACAGCGACAATGCTATTCTCCGCCGCTAGGAGGGCCTTCTCGAGGAGGTTGACAGTGAGGGTGGTGGGACAGACTGAGATAAAGTGGTCCCTGACTACGCGAAGGGAGTCAGGGAGGCGTGCGGCTACGTAGTAGAGAGTGATGTACATGGGGGGGGGGGGGTTCTTGGCGCAAAACTCAGCAGGAAGGGCGGCGCGGTAGCGAGTGTCACTAGTGCGGAGGTGCGTAATGAGGTCAGCGACAGTGGGAAAGGCAGTGAGGTCAGGAAAGAGGTAGGGTAGCATGAGACGGCTCAGTGCAGCAGTGGCAGGGGAAGAGTAGCGCGCAACTACAGCGTCGTACAAGGTCTGAGAACTCTTGTACTGACTAAAGTGCGCGCGCTCAGTGGTGGGCAAGTGGCGACGCACAGCAAGACGTGCAGCAGCATCGCGGGTGGCCCACTGAGAGCGGACAGTGGGGTCAGCATCAGCAACAGGAGCGGGAGAGGCGCCAGAGGTGAGGTCAAAAAGAGAAAGACCGTCTGCCCTATCGCAGTGTAAAAACAACTGCAGGTCGTCGACCCAAACCTCAAAGTCAATGGCTCTGCCCTCAGCGTCAAAAGCCAGGACACTGGGGGTAGCCATGACGACGGACTAGCAGTGCAAGCAGTGGGGAAGGGGACGCAGTAGCAGTGGGGCGGTGCCGTGCTCACCAGACAGGACAAGTCGGGCGGTCCGGTGGAAGGGCGGCTCGGCGGCTCCTGGGCGGCTCAGCGACTCCTGGGCGGCTCGGCTGCGCCGGGGCGGCTCGGCTGCTGCTGGGCGGCTTGGCTGCTGCTGGGCGGCTCGATTGCTCCGGGGCGGCTCGGGTGCTGCTGGGCGGCTCGGTTGATGCTGGGCGGCTCGGCTGCGCCGGGGCGGCTCGGCTGCTGCTGGGCGGCTCGGCTGCTGCTGGGCCGCGTAGGTAGGGCGGCGGGTGGCCGCAGGTAGGGCGGCTGGTGGGCCGCTAAGGTAGGGCGGCCGGTGGCCGCAGGTAGGGCGGCTGGTGGGCCGCGAAGGTAGGGCGGCGGGTGGCCGCTGAGGTAGGGCGGCGGGCGGCCGTGACGAGACAGCGGGGCCGCGGAGAAGTGGGAGGGCCGCGACGGGGCGGCGAGGCCGCGACGGGGCGGGGCCGTGACAGGGCGAGGCCGTGACGGGGCGGCGGGGCCGCGACGGGGCGGGGCCGCGACGGGGCGGCTGGGCCGCGACGGGGCGGGGCCGCGAAAGGGCGGGGCCGCGACGGGGTGGGGCCGCAACAGGGCGGGGCCGCGACGGGGCGTGGCCGCTAGAGGGCGAGGCCGCGACAGGAAGGGCGGGGCCGCGACGGGGCGGGGCCGCAATGGGGCGACTAGGCCGCGACGGGGCGGGGCCGCTAGAGGGCGGGGCCGCAACAGGGCGGGGCCGCGACGGGGTGGGGCCGCTAGAGGGCGGGGCCGCGACAGGGCGGGGCCGCGACGGGGCGGGGCCGTTAGAGGGCGGGGCCGCGACAGGAAGGGCGGGGCCGCTCGAAGGGTGGGCGGCGGGGCCGCTAGTAAGGGCGGCGGGGCCGCGTCTGAAGGGCGGCGGGGCCGCGAGAGGAAGGGCGACTCGGAGGGTCGCTAAAAAAAAGATCGCGCGCCTCGGGGCGCGCTTCAGTGGGCCCTAGGCGAAGTTCCCACAGGGAACCCGCTCTATACCATGTGAGAGTAAGGAACAGGAATGAGAATGACTAAGGAAAGATTGGTACAAATACAACCCTAGAAACCTGTACCCCATATGTGCTACCCCACTATAGCCTACAGTAACTATGTCATATAAATCTGACAGTCTTTGCCTTGCTGTCATTGAAAACGGTTGTTAAACTGCTCCTCAATTTAGCTTGATCTGCCTCTGTAGAATAACTGTTTTCCACTGCACTGCTGCCAAATTCTCCTGCTGACTCCCCTCGTGAACATTCATGATCGCTCGTGTACAAATCATGAACACTCGTGTGGGTTAACCGTTTTCTTCAGTTACAAACGAACTTTATCGTTTTGTACCTCTGTTGAAATAATAACACAAAGCAGCGCGACTTTCTGGCGAATTTTCGTGCACGCCAAGTCAGCGCGAAATCCCGTTAGTCAACCGCAATCTCGAGTGCCCCACGTGCCCGTCATCACGACCGAGATATTTCTCGGTCGTGCAGGACAGAACAATCGCTGACGCGATCGTGCGTTGTCCTACACGTGACGAGGCGAGCATGTCGCTTCGTTTTGTAGCGATCTTGCGTACAGTACACGATCGAAACAGTGGCAACACACGCGCATGTTCTGTCAAGACACACTCGTATGTCAGGACCCCACGCGCGGGTCCTGACTTCGCGCACTTTTTAGTCGACCAGCGCGAAGTGGTCAACGAGCTGGTCAAACTATCGAGCCCCAAACACAAACACACTCGAAACTCACAACCAACCTTTATGAAAAAACTCGACATTCATGAAACATAAAGCATTCATGCAACACAGAACTTTCGTGAACGCACATGTTCGTAGACGAAAACGAATGCACACAAAACACACACAAAATGTATAACGTCATGCAGGCGGCTGGTTGCTGTGCAAAAATAATATTTTGCACCCAACACATCGTGCATTCTTAGGGCGTGTTCCTACGGCCTCTTATCAGGCGAACCTCTTGTCAGATTCGCGTCGCACCGCACTGAATCGCGCATAATAACATTCGATCGCATTGAATCGCATTGAACCGCATTCGATTTTTATTAAATATTTTTGATATATATATATATATATATATTTTAACAGTGGTTGCACATGATTAAAAGTAACCTCTATTAGAATGGACTAAGATACTAGCGGAAGCTTTAGTAGTCTTAGAACCTCCTCCTAAAGCCTAGGAATCCTAGGAGCCCACTTGGGCATGAACCATGCTAGAACCAAAGTGGTTTCCAAAAGTAAAATACCAACAAGAGAGAACCCTAACCTATAGGGTTTGGGAGGTGGTCCACTCTAAAGAGTGTACACCACAAGTTCTCCCAACCCAACCAATGTATTCTACACTACCATAGTGTAGATGTACCACTACATATGTTTATTGGAGCAACCCGAATTAACCTTAATTCCAACACCCCCCCTTGCTCCAATAAGCATTAAAGTTCACCCATAAATCAAAATACAACCCCTCCAGCGAATGAAGCCTTGGCCTTCGCAGCAATCACTCGCATGCCGATGCGCTCCAGGTTCTCATGCAGCTGCAAGCTTGGAAGAGCTTTGGTGAGCATGTCGGCATCCTGGAGGTGGGAGCGTACTGAGTGCACCTCGACCTCCTGCTGGCGCACCGCATCCCGTACAAAGTGCCATGCCACCTTAATGTGCTTGGTGCGCTGATGGAGAACGGGATTGTGGGCAAGGGAGACAGCTGCCTCATTATCACAGAGCAATGGAATAGCCCCCCCATCCCCCACATGCATCTCTGCCAACAGACTCCTCAACCAAATGGCCTCCTTGGCCCCCTCCGATAGAGCTTTGTACTCAGCTTCAGAAACGCTTGCTGCAACACTGTCTTGCTTTTTGCTATACCAGCTGATTGTTCCTCCTCCCAGCTTAAAGATGTAGGCAGAGCGACTCTTGCCATCAGTCTCACCACCCCAATCCGAGTCTGTGTACCCGACAACCTGCTCACCACCTTGGCGCTCATACCTGATGACACGATCAGCTGTGTCGACCAAGTACCTGAGTGCTCTCAGTGCAGCGCGCATGTGAATGCGTCTTGGTGCCACGCAGGACTGTGCAAGGGTGTTGACAGTGAAAGACATGTCAGGACGGGTGGTCACAGCAGCATACATCAAGCTGCCAATGAGACTCTGGTACACCTTGACATCAGCTGCAACACCTTCCTCAGTTGACCAAGTACCATTCCTGATCTTAGAGAGATCATTGGGTGACATTGGAGTATGCACCCTATGGGTCTCCTTCAGCAGATCACCAAACCTTCCCTGGAGACCACGGACATACTTCTCCTGACCAATCTCCAACCACCCATCCTTGACCGACCTGCGAACCTCCACACCAAGGTACATGGATACCTCACCTAGATCCTTCATCTGGTACCTCTGAGCAAGCACCTCCTTGACCTGACCGATCAGCTCCAAGCGTGGAGACACAAGCAAGAGGTCATCCACATACACCAATACATACACTGGCTCTTCATCCACAAACCTGATGTACAGAGCCTCATCACATGCACTGCGGTCAAACCCTGCTGCAATCAAGGTGGTACCAATCTCCTCATTCCAAGCACGAGGCGCTTGCTTGAGCCCATAGAGAGCTTTGCGCAAGCGATGCACCCTACCTGTACCATCATCAAATCCCTCAGGTTGCCTCACATACACTTCCTCTTGAAGGAGTGCATTGAGGTAAGCATGATCAACATCCTCCTGTTGTACATGCCACCCTTTTACCGCGGCTTCTGCAAGAAGCACCCGACCTGAGGTCAGCTTGCCCACAGGGGCAATACCTGATCATAGTCCTTCTCAGGCTCCTGAGTGTACCCCTTAGCAACAAGGCGAACCTTGTGCTGTACCACCTTATCCTCCTTGTCAGTTTTCCTGCGGAAAACGTACCGGACCCCAATGGCCTTCTTACCTGGAGGTAAGTCAACCGGCTCTGGATCCCATACACCCATAGTGCGCATTGCATTTACCTCCTTCTCAGCGCCTGCCTTCCACGCAGGGCCCTCAGGGCCACGCAGGGCCTCAGCGAGTGTGCGTGGGACATCACCTGTGCTCACACCTGCCAGTGCAACACCTTCCACCTCCCTGGCCAAACATAGCATGCCCTCAACCACACCAGCATCCCCCCCTACCTCCTCACCACCTGTACCAGACTGGATACCAAGCACCTGCAAACCCGTAACCGGTGGTGGGGAGGTAGTCGCTGGTGACGGAGGGGCACCCGTAGAGAGAGGGATAGAGCGCTGACCAGAGGAGGAGGAAGAGGAAGTAGCCTGTGTAGCGGATCTCCGCTGAATGACCGAGGGGCCACTGAGGTGCTGCAGAGGGGTGGGCTGCTGCTGCACCGACACACTCAGCGGTGCCGGTGGCAGTGGTGAAAGTGGCATCTCAACGTCGTCAGCCGTTGCTGAAGGTGGCGAGAGTGGAAGAGGGAGGAGTTGGGAAATTGCAGCTGCATCCTGCAGAAGCTCCCCAAATTCCTTTGCCTTGTCCCAATCCTTCCACATCACATTCTCAAGGAAATCAACATCCCGAGCAATGCGTATGCGCATGATAGAAGGGTCCAGCATGCGCCAACCCTTGCTCTCCATGTCCACCCCAACACAGACACACATGACAGCCCGTGCATCAAGCTTGCCACCCTTCTCATGCCCATGCAACATGACACTCCCCATGCAACCCCAAATCCGAGCCATGCCCACATGCGGCTTCTGGCCGGACCACGCCTCCATTGGTGTGATGGAGGCAGGCAAAGCACTGTGGGTGACCCTGTTCTTAACCCACACGACCCACATCAATGCTTCACCCCACAAGCGAGCAGGGAGACCACTGTCGACCAACAATGTGCGAATCCCCTCTGCCATCGTCCTGTGCCACCTCTCCACAACCCCATTCTGTTGCGGTGTATCTGCGACGCTCAATTGAGTTTTAATGCCAAACTCCGCCTTCCATGCTTTTACAGCTTCCCCCAAGAACTCGCCACCCCTGTCCGAGCGAACAGCCTTCAGCTTCCGCCCACACTCCAACTCCACGTCCTTATGCCACTGGCGAAGGACTTTTGCAACTATGGCCGATTCCTTGTTGGGGAGGGGGAACGACCAAACTCGTCTGGTGAAGTCGTCAATGAGACTGAAGACATACACCGCTTCTCCCAGTGATGGTGTGCGCACCGGCCCCCACAAATCCATGTGGACCTCATCCAAAGGCCCAAGTGCCCGAGACGCCTCATGGGGAAACGGCTTCCGAGCCGACTTTCCCAATAAGCAGGGCTCACATGGGGAACAATCAGTGTTCCCCCCCCCAATCTCCAAGCCCAGTACACTGTTCCCCCGAGCCATCTGTTGCAATGTTGTGGGGGCGGTATGACCAAGGCGGCGATGGGCAAGGGTCAATGGGGAAAATGAGGAGGACGACTTAGCTGCAAGAGCACTGCCCTGTGTGCCGTGAGCAAGAGGAAGAAACATCCGCACCAATCCATGGTCCCTTCCCCTCTCCTTTTCTCCAATCGCCAACACCCGCTCCCCCCGTTGAAGGACACATCTCTTGCCTTTGAATGTGACAATGACATCTCGAGAGGTGAGGTGTGGGACTGACAGCAGACGCGTGTGCATCTCAGGCACAAGGTGGACCTTTTGAATCCTCAGCAGCTGACCTCCAGCACCAACCACTGGCACCTCACCCATGCCAACAGCTTTCACCACCCGTCCATCTCCCAATCTAACTCCCCGAACCTCTGGTGGTTGAAGCTTACTTTTGAAGTCCGATGCATAAGGAGTAAAGTTGTGGCTGGCCCCACTGTCAATCCACCACCCCTCTCGCGGCTGCTCCTCTCCCACTGCTGCAACTGCTTCTCCAACCACTGCCTCTGCCTTGTCATCCTGCTCCTCCTCATCCGCCACCTGTGCCTTGCCGTTGGACCCACGACCCCCCCGCTGTAAGAATGCCGGAATGCCTCCCTTAGGTCGATGAGGACATCGCTGCCATGCATGTCCCTCATCCCAACAGCCATGACACAACCCCCGAGGAGCCATGCCCTTGGACCCCCAAGGGAAATCAAGCACTCCCGCTTTGCCTTTCCCTTGACCCCATCTGCCCGAGTTGGTGTCACTGCTGCTACCGCTGTCTCCATGCTTTCCTCCCTTGACCCAATTTCCCCTGCCGCTGCTGCCCACTTTCGTACCCGCTCCAAATGTGGCTACACCATCCGATCTTGGTGCGACACCAATCCGCATCTTCTCGCTCCTCAAGGAGGTAAGCAGCTGATCCTTAGTGAGCGATGATGACTGGTTGTTCAACACCACCTTCAGCATCTCAAAGTGAGGAGGTAGTCCTTTGAGTATCCTCATCATCCACTCCTCAACCTCCTCCTTTCCTCCTGCAGCCAAGTACTTGGACCTCAAGTCCTCGGCACGCGCCCAGTATGCAGCCACCCCCTCCCCCTCTTTCATCTTCAATGAAGAGAGCTCCTCAGAGAGTGCCATCCGGTTACACAATCCACGCTGAAGGTAGAACTCCTTCACTCGTATGTATGCCGCTGCTGTGCCTGCAGGAATTCGGGTGACCGCTCTTGCTCCGCCATCAACAGGTGCGCTGCCCAACTCGGTCTTGCCGCCGAACTCCCGTACCAAGCGAATTAGCTCATCTGGCACCAAGGCATTGCAGAATTGAGCGAATGCCTTCTGATTTTTTCTCTCCCACTTCAGCCGTGCGTCACCCGATGCAGGCCGCTCCTCCGAACCATCAAAGTACCCCCATAGATCGTGTGCCTCTGCCCATTGTTCGAATCGGAAGCTCCAAGTCCAATAGTCGCTCCCGTCGAACTTTGGCGCACTCTCCAGCTTCCCTTCACCTGAGTCATGATCCATTTGCGGCAGACACTCTGGAGATTGACGTTGAGGTGGTGGTGGAGGCAACGGCGGCGGTGGTGGAGACGATGTGGACAGATTTGCCCCCTCTTGGTTTTTGGAGCGTAACTCCGCGCTCGAACCTCCGAATGATGAGCCGTTTGTCTCAGATGAATCTTTGCTCCAAGACCGTTCCGATGATGTATCGCGCTCCTGGATCCCGCTTCCAAGCTGGCCGCTTAAACTCGTCGAAGTTGGCCGATTTCCCGTCGACGAAGACTCAACCGTTTCTCCCGATTTTTGGCTTGTTGGATGCGCCCTGGCCTCCTCTATCGGCGTCTGGCCTCCAATCTTTTTTCCGCGCTTTAAATCTTCCTCGATTCGCGATTTTCCAATTCGTCTGCCGGCAGTTTTTCGCGAATTGCGTCCGATCCCCTCGTCGATTGGTGACGACCTTGAGGCAATTGTTGTAGAACGTGCTGAGACCTTTCTAACGGTATGCTGCACGTCTTGATCGGCCAAAGTTGACTGAGCGCCTCCGTGGATGGATGCCGCTCTTCTCGTCCTCCCAAACGGATCTACACGATTTCCAGCAGTTTTCTTCTCTCCTCCTCCCCTCCCACGTCCAGAGTCCGCCACGGTGCAATTTCGGCAGCCCTTCGGGAGGAATGGAAGCTAACTAGCTTCCACCAAGATCTTATGGTCCAATGTCTTGAGTAACTCCTTTTCCAACAGATTGCTAGGCCTTCCTTGCTCTGATACCATATTAGAATGGACTAAGATACTAGCGGAAGCTTTAGTAGTCTTAGAACCTCCTCCTAAAGCCTAGGAATCCTAGGAGCCCACTTGGGCATGAACCATGCTAGAACCAAAGTGGTTTCCAAAAGTAAAATACCAACAAGAGAGAACCCTAACCTATAGGGTTTGGGAGGTGGTCCACTCTAAAGAGTGTACACCACAAGTTCTCCCAACCCAACCAATGTATTCTACACTACCATAGTGTAGATGTACCACTACATATGTTTATTGGAGCAACCCGAATTAACCTTAATTCCAACAACCTCAACAACGTAGGCTGATAATCAGGGTTTCTGAAAAGGCTACACTGCAAATCAGAGAAGTCGAAATCCAAATGTAATCCCCGTTCCATATCCGTCTGAGCTCCTTATCATGGCACACAAATGAACTTGGACCCTACACTCCCAACACACTTCTTCTCATTGTACACGTAATATTTTGAAATTGCTCCATTGGCAGCTCCACCATAAAAACTGTAAGCACCTGAGCATGTCAATGATGGTGACACTGGCTTTTGCCTGCCCTTCTTGCATATGCCAACGACGAATGACCAATACTCTGCCCTTAGGCAAATCTGAACGGCGACATTTACAAACACAAGAAATGAAAAAAAACATGTATTGAGAGAAAGAGATAGGCACACACTCAACGGGCAATCAAGGGCAAATAGTTGGAAAAAACACCACGCTGGCATATGAGAAATGACTCCTTGCCCCAACATCCATCAAGTATACGTTTAGTCCATCCACCAATCTTCCCTCCATTTCCCTCCCATCTCTTGCGCCCCCAACCCAGTTCACCTCCACCTCTCACCTGCACGCCAGTGTTGCTGCCAACAGCAGAGGCGGAGACCGGGATGACACTCGAGCAGATGAGGCCGGGATTGTTGCGGTACAGCTCAGCCCAGCGCACAGCGTTCACGTTCCCAGTCTCCGTTGGGTCGTCCTCACTCCCCGCCTCCAGCAGCAGGCGTTCACACGTGTCCTGTGCTGTAAGCACGCCGTAACGTAGGCACCGAGGCACAGTGAAGGCGAAGGTGGCGTTGCGCTCGACGCACAGAGAGCGGCCCGCCTTGATGGGCTCAGAGCAGTCAAGGCCGGGATTGAGTGCCGTGAGGTTGCTGGTGGTGAGGAACAGCTGAGCACTGATGGACCAGCATGTGTCGCCCTGGAGGGTTGAACAACGGGAGAGAAGGCACAGATGCCTGAGGTGAATGGAGCGCAGCTTTACTATGCGACAGTCTTGCGGAGCTAAGAAAAGCAGAGTGGGGAAACATAGAAAAATAATTTGATGAGATTCCATTCAACGAATAAAAACAAAAAGGGCTAACTCTCACACTGAGGGTGTAGAAGAACGCAGTGCAGGGAACGAGGAGAGGATTTCCCAGCTGAAGCACCATGTTACGAGGCAAAGCCTGATTGCAGTCAATGCCCTGCAATGAGGAGCACACACGATTCTTTAGTCACCACTTCAGGGGATGGCACATTGTTTGCATGACGAATCAGGAAGTAAATGGACACAGGAAAACAAAGCTATGAAGTGAAGGTGTAGCAATATTGCTTTTGTGATTGTTTTCATTTCACACATTGACGATTTCGTAAACTGTAGATAAGCAGCTATGGGACTTAGAATTCCATTGTGAGGAATCAACCACTAGCCGTGCCTGCCAATCCACTCTTCCAGGCCCCCCATCTCCATTGGTTACCTGATTCTGCTGTGTGAATTGGGGAAGTGAGAGGCCCACAATAGAGAGGACATCGGGGCACCACCAGTTGCTCCCACTCACGGCCAGGGTGCTGGCTGTGACGTTGGCTGGAAAGCGACGAATGTGAAAGCAGGAGAACACACGCATAAGAAAGTAATCAAGAAAACAAAACTACTAGTTGTGTGTGCATCACATGAATTGACAGTAGAAGAAGTTTGCAGGGGTTGTAATGACCCCAACATATGTATGATTCAAGAAGAACTGAAAGAAGTAGCGACCCTCTTACAAACGATGCCAAGCCAGCAGCACCTGGGTCGCAGGTGGGGAAGCTGTCAATGGTTGTGCTTTCAATGTAGTTGGGGGGGCAGATGCAGGAGTAGGAGCCCTTGCCGTCGTTGATGCACGCGCCGACGTAGCATGGGTTCTTCAAGTCAGACCCACACACATCCACTGCCAAGCGACATAAACACAATTGTGGAGCACAGTGGTGAGAGAGATACATGTGTTGGGAGCAATGGGAAGAGTAGGGGGAAGGAGAGATAAAACTACGAAAAGATATAGACAGGGACTTGGTTGAAAGAATATCTGAAGATCAAACAAGCCCATTGTTCCGAAAACGGCCATTGTTCTGACAAGGGCCATGAATAAAAGTTCTCATTTGAGAACTTGAACCAAACAACTTACAGTAAGCACACGTTTGAGAGCCGTATCCGTTTGCAACTTGAACAAATGGCTGCTTAGATTCGTTTGGAATGGAACAGTCACACGAATTGCTGTTGTTCCGTAAGTTAGCCCGGCATGTGAACCGCCCACACGGATTCATGCTGGGCTGCAGGTCACCATCACCCTTGAAGCTCCTCTGGCCGCAAGGGTCCTTGGGGACTGGAGGGGGGTACAGATAGGAGCAGGAGGTGTAGAAATAGGCGAGAGTGCAAACTCATTGAAAACGACCGTGGGCAGGAAAAGGCAAGCCTTAGGCAAATGGCAGGTGTGAAATCTGGAAACCGTGAGTTGGCGATTGGTGACTGGCTCACACTCTCTTCTCTCTGTTGACAATGCCTCCATTCCACTGTGTTCCATATACCAAATTTGAGGCCATCCCCTAGACTAAAGACTAATTACATAATTCTTCTGTGAATTTCACCCTGCCCCAAACACCCTGTGATGGACTGGAAGGGGGGGACTGAGATATGGAGAGAACGATGGGGGAAGGTGCCCCATTTAAGACAATGAGGTAGATGCCTCACTCAACACCTCGAGGTAGATGCCTCACTCAACACCTCGAGGTAGATGCCTCACTCAACACCTCGAGGTAGATGCCTCACTCAACACCTCGAGGTAGATGCCCCACTCAACACCTCGAGGTAGATGCCTCACTCAACACCTCGAGGTAGATGCCCCACTCAACACCTCGAGATAAATGCCTCACTCTTGACAATGGGGTAGATGCCAGGCAGCATGTTGATGCCACACACGCCATCCCCTCCCTGAATGTCCATGCGCATGTGGCCCCGGTCACCCCACTCCACTCCCCACGAGTTGCGGATGATCCAAAATGGAGGCGCTATGCGATTTTGGCTGCCGTCATTTCTCAAGATGAAGTATCCGATAACGAGTACAACGTGGTTCAGTCTGCCGGTGTAGCAACCAGGATCCTGGTACTTGAAGGTCTGAAGAGAAAGGGGGCACCACAACAGTTATGGAGGGATAAAACAACAAACAACTAAGTACCACTTCAGGCATACAGCTTAATGCTGGTAACAACTTGTGTACAACCCTGGGTTGGTTTTTGGCATACAGGTAATGCGAACAACAACTTCTGTACAACTCCTGACAACTTGTGCACAGAATGAAGGGTCAACGCAAGAAACACCCACCCCGTCATATTGTGCAAAACTCAGAGCAGAAGCCTCAATGTGAACCACCACTGGCTGTCGACGCACTGCCAGCATGAGCCCCACAAACCCCTTGAACCTTGTGCACTCAAAGCCATGAATAGGGTACTCCTTTTTCTGAAGATGAACATTCCATAGGGGATTTAATTACAGATAGGAAGGAAGAGAAAGAAACATAAAAGGAGGTCACAATGGAAAACAAAAGTTTGCTTGCGGAAAATGATGGCGGCCAATCATAGAAAGCAGCAGAATGTTGGGTGCATTACAAAATGATTAGAATATTCATTTTGTACTCTATACGTTGCCTTCTGAATGTTATGGAACTCTTAAGTCTGGCTCGGCCCCTTCCGGCTCGTGGCAAGCCGACCTTAGCTGACCGTTGATCATGCTTGGTAGAAGCTGTTTGCCTCTTGCTGCCATAACTCGGTCTCTTGGCCCCGATCCGGCCAATCTATCATTGCGTATCAGACTGCAGGGGCACTCGTATGCCGATGGAAAATTAGTTCAACTCGGTTAGAAGTTGCAACCAATGCCAGTGGCTTCAACGACTCGGAGACAGTCCTAAGTTGGAATATACGCTTAACACCTTAAGCGTACAGCGTATGTATGCTAGCGTACACACGCTATACGCTATACGCTAGCGAATACGCTATACGCTCTTTTTAGGGCTGCCCGAAAAAAAAATCGCAAAAAAGATGCGGATTTCCTAGGTGAGCATTTCGCCGTAGTCGAAATTCAAATCCGCGGTCCAGGGAAACGGGGATCTGACGAAGTCGTCAGGCAAATGTTGAATTTCAGATCCCATCTAGGCATTGAAATCCACCCCTTCTACCGCATTGAACCCCACTTTATCTACAAACTCCAACCTGTCAAAATTAACCCCCCAACAAATCTCGTGGTACTTACCTGCAAGCCCTGTTGGCTAACCCTAACTCGTCATTTGGTTCCCGCTTTCACCAGAGTTCACTCACGCTACTTCGCTTTCTAGCTATTATGTCTACTCCACCTCCCATTGCATTCATCATTCAGATTCAGGATTATGCAAGGGCAAGCCTTAGTGAGAATAGGGAGTACTTTTATTTCACCCTGCCCGGAAAGTTTTTTCTCTGCCCGAAAAAGCGTACCTCCAAAACGAACCCCTAAGCGGATAGCGTATGTACGTTAGCGTATATACGATACGCGAATATACGCTGTACGCGTATATTCCAACTTAGAGACAGTCCTCATATCACCAGTTGAAGTATAGTCGCAACTCTCTCAACGTCGGGCACACCACTTCAAATCTTTAGAATCACACTTCACCACACTACTCACAGGCGCTCCAACCTCTGTGACTCCACCGCGAGGCAGCATGAGAAGCCTTTCCAACGCCTCGGTGGGGGAGCCCCCCGTGCTGCACTTGTCAGCTTCGGAGGTGAGCCCCATGGCTGCAAAGAGTGACTCCACTGACAGCTGCGGTGCCTGTGCATTCAAGGCAATGCCGTATGCCGCTTCCACACTCGCCACCAGCGCAAACGCCCAACAAGCACCTGCGTATGATGAAAATTGGTTCGTGAAAAATTGAAGCTCATGCGATGACGGCTGAAAAATGATGAAGACTCATATTGCCCAGATTATTGTGCGATAGTTGAAACATGAAAGTGACCAGCAGCAGAACAGCAAATGGAAAGACGCAGATTGTAGCAACTAACCAAGACACCAGCCCAGCTATCAGCTCCAATATGCTTCTACAGGTTCCCATTGGTTTCACTCACTGCAGTCTCTTTGGTCCTTGACGGGCCAGCCGAGGAAGGGCACGGAGTCCCAGGAGTGGAAGTCGCTGATGACCCACGAGTCCTGCTTGCTGGGCGCAACACGGTAGTCCGCACTCACATAGCGCGGGAAGGGGCTGGCCCGTTCTGGCATGTATGTGTTCGTTGATAGCTGCAGGCCATAGGCTGTGATATGCTCAGAAGTTGAATTATAGAGAAAGGAATGAGATGTGAAAGTGACAAGTTGTTACAAGATAGAACTTGAAGGGGGATAATGAGTACAATGGTCTGGGGTGCATTGCCCTAACGTTGCTGAACTGCAACCCTTATCCAATAACATCTGCACCTCAAGTGGTCATTACAACATCCACCAAACAAGCACTCCGTTCAAGCGTGGTTCATGCATGTCTCTCATAAAAAATTCGCTTCCCTAATTCCATAAACGAAGTTGCTCAGCTTCTCCATTTTCCAGTTTGCTTCAGATTTATGCGCACCGTGCTGTGCACCATCAACCACCGTGCTGTGCACCATCAACCACACTGTCTAGGTTATTCTTCTTTCTTACACCCAATGTACTGAATGCATGAGTACTTAGTACAAAGAACCTCCAGAAGAAAAGAAAAACATGGTAAGACGGAGAGTGAAGGATACATGTGGAAAGATAAACAAACGCGAGGGGAAACGTCTGTACACATTATAAGATGATAATAACAATCACACTGTCACAATGCTTGCCTCTTTTGTCCTTCTAACGGAGGTAGTTGCGAGAGTCGCAACAGAAGCATGGGAGACGATGTCTCACCTGGATTACGTGTGACTGTTCGGGGAGAAGCAGGAAGGCCTGCACAAAGACAAAGCAATCAGAGCGAAGATAGAAGACACCATGTAAGATTCAGAAAATGTGTGACTCATATCAAATTGCAGTCACTTTCAAATTGACCTCCATCGGTAACCTCATCAGCGCCAGAGCTAACCTCATCTTCACCAGCACTACCCCCATCGTCACAATTCCTTACATCACCATCCACTCCCTCAGTCTCGTTGCCACCTCCTTTACATCCTCCGGACTGGACCTCCCATGTTGTTAACCACCATGCCAAGCCCATCCACCTGAAAGCACACACTGCTTACCTGTATCCACTGTCGATTCAAGAATGACGTGCCGCTGAAACGGCTTCACAGTGGTGGACGCCACGAAGCCAAAGAAGAAGGCGGGCTGATCAACTGCACCCTGCAGCACCTCACACAGCGCCAGCCTCCACTCCAGCACCGCTTGCTGCGGCTTCTCCTGCGAGTCAGCCAGGAAGACCTGGATGGTGCCGGGGTCTCCTGGCTCATAGTCCACCCACGCCGTGTACGCCTTCCTGTTGCTCAGACGGAAGGGTGACCTCACAGCGACTAGCGATCTGTCTTCGCCTCGAACGTTCAGCCCGACATGGTGGCTGCTCATGTCGCCATGCTCCTTGTTCTGCAGAGTGTCAAACTCCACCGCCATGCTCCGTGTGTCCATTCCACCATACCCCACTCCAGCGCCACTCCCCACCTGGTCCGTTGCCGAGATGACAAACGCTAAGCCGTTGAAGCCCACGTGGCCAGATCGAGGCAAGAGGGAGAAGGTAAAGTTGGCGTGAAAGGCGAGCTGCAGCCCACACCGCGACAGTCCCTGGTTTGCCTCGTACACAAACAACTTCACCGGCTCTGCGGTGAAGTTCCCCTTCGTCTCGCGCTGCCCCCCCCTGGTGAGTATAGATGCTGGTGGGAGAACCGCTTGACTGCTTGAGTAGTTTTTGTTCTGGCCTGCACAAACATACCAGACGGATGGACAGAAGTGGGATATGTGTAAGAACTTGAGCGAGACTTGATTGATTTAATAAAGGAGCTCAAGAATTCTAAGTACATTAGAAAATGGGTGGGAACAGATGGGCAGGGGATTGGGGGCAATTCCCAATAAGATCGACTGAAATCTTCAACTGGTGTTGGAGTTGAAGGTTTCAGTTGACCACATCACATTTGGGTTGGGTTGGGATATTGGTGTAACACCCAACCACAAAAACTACTACACTAAAGTAGGACATTAAAAGTGCAAGTAAAAGACGTGAGGTGGAAGTCTATCGCTAACAATATGGAGGTATGACGGGGTGATACCTAAGAATTCCGATCAACAAGCGACTGGAGTTCATGTGAGTTGGACGTCCCACCATTCTGTAAATCTGTATGTGGTCATGTTTCATAGATTTCAAGTGGTGTCCCCTACCTTGAGCAACACAGGTGATCCCTCCAAATTGCACGAATCCCGCATCACACAGACATGTGGGTGCCAAGCTAGCCCCCTCTGGATAGCACACCCCATGTCCTCCACACGCAGCAGCAGCAGCAGCACCAGCAGCAGAGGAGACGCCACAGAATGCATTGCATGCTGCCTCCTGTCGCTGGGGCACCAAGGCACAGCCAAGCGGCAACGTGAAGCAGTTGGCATCAAAAGAGTGAGGCTGGCATGCCCCGTCGGGCAGAGGGCCCGAGAGGAAGTTGCTGGAGAGATATAGGGTTCGCGCAGCAAGGAGCTTCAGTGCGCGGCCTGTGAGGTAGTTGTGAGAGAGGTCTCTGAAGGAAGGAGGTGCAAGTGGCGGGAGAAGGATGGGTGGGGATCACCTCACTGCACCTGGATAGAAAAAAGTGGAGTGCACTGAGCGAAGATGTGAGGGGTTGTTGAGAAGAATGGGTATACGGATGGGGGAGCAGAAGGGGATAGACACGGGCTGGCGGAGGAGAAGAATAAGGAGTCAACGAGAAGGGGAGCAGAAGGGGAAGGTGAGGTGGAAGAGACGAATACAGAAGAGGGAGAGGAAGAAGAGGCGTACGAGGATGGTTGGTTGATTGAGACCAGGGAAGAGAGAAATCCGAGAAATGAGGAAGAGAGAAACGAGGAAGCAATCCGAGGAATGTGAAGATGGGTATACAGGGCACTGGCACAGCAACCACGGGCATTCATGTGGTTTTCTATTGACTGGTTTGACTCTTAAGTGGTACTGGGTAGTGTTCAATGTTATAGACCAGCACTCTAGGATGATGATGCACCAGCATGCGAAGTGGGATGCTGCTGGTGGGCTTTTTGAAGGAAAATGTTTCACGAAACTAGGGCAGGAAGAAGAACAGAGAGATCGTGGGGCTAACCAAAGTAAGGAGAATTCAACTGAGCACCACATTTGAAGTACAGCAACCCATCCATTCAAAACAATGGAAAAAGGGTGCACTCCACGAATGACTTCATTGCATGGACACACGTATGTATCAAAGTCACCCCCTTGTGTTCTTAGCTCGCGCTCATCATGAGAAAAGCTCTCCTGTGAGAGGAAATTGACAGCACTAGACAAGAGGGCAACTGACAGGTGAGAAACTTGGGTGAGTGTGCTGATGGTAGCAGGAATGCTGCCAGACAGTTGGTTGCTTGAAAAATCTCTGAGTGGAAAAAGAATGCCAAATTATAAACACCACTGAGGTTATAGTGAGGTGAAATGATAAAAGTACGCATGAGCACAAAAAATTACCGCGGTTCGGTTCAGGGCGGTTCAGTTCGTTTTTTACCCAAACTATACCGTTTTTCTTTTTTGCGGCCGTTATTTTTTTCTTCAACAAATTGAACCAGTTCTTCTGTTCGGCCGGTTTGTTTTCAACAACTATCCGAGCCACGCCGAAGCTCCAGCTCCCTCATAGCCTAACATTGGTGTGTTTCCCACGGTTCTTTTTAGATAACAGCTCCTTTTTCTGTTTCAGCCAGTGTAACGATAGTGAAATGTTCAAGGAGAGAAACTTGGAGGCCGTGGTTGTGAGAGCAGCAGTTCTATTGATTAGACTGTTAAGATACATTTGAGCAAGGAAGTTGGGAAAACCTAACCAACCCGACCCGTGGTTTAGGGCTGGTCGGGTCAGGGATTTCAGAAATGTGCCCCGCGCGGGTTGGCCCGACCGAACCCGAGCTAAAACCCGACCCAAGTACAGAACTTGGGCCGAGTCAGGGCCGGGTTTTGGGCCAGGATTGACCCAACCCGATTTCAACTCTGTAGGGTTCGAAACCCTAGACAAATTTGATGACGAGGATTAAGAAGTCCCTCGACATCAGAACTTGGGCTGAGTCGGGACGGGTTTCGAGCCAGGATTGACCCGACCCGATATCGGGTCTTGGTCGGGGAATTCGGGCCGGGCCAACTCTGTAGGGTTCGAAACCCTACATAAATTTGATGTCGAGGATTGAACGGTCATCAGGATTCAGAACATGAGCACGCGCCACGCCAAGCAGCCAAACTTCAGCCACTAAGTTAGTAGCTATTTTAAAGCCTACAGAACCATGTTTTCCGACATTCCTATTTACTATGAAGATGTTACTCTGCTATTAAAGGAGACCGCACTGGTGGGATAGTATACTCACGAGTTCACGTTTTACTAGTGCAATTTCACCTTCGAGGCTGCACGCGCCATGTCTTAAAACAACCACCGTTCATAAGTGGGCCCAGCACATAAACTAGTACCAATTCGTACTGATTGACGGGCGCCGCATGCACAGCACTTTTCACTACAGCTAATACACACCCGTACCCCGTAACAGGGCGGGTCAGCCTGGCCCGACCCGACCCGACCCGGGGTCGGGTCAGTTCTGACCCGAATTTCAAAACTCGGGTCGAGTCAGACCCTCCACAAGCTTGGCTCGAAGCTGGCCCGACCCGGGAACCCATCTGGCCCAGCCAAGTCGGGTCGGGTCGGGTCAGGCCGGGCCACATGGTCATGACTAGGTGGAAGGGGGCGTCGTAGACTATGAGAAAATTAGAGCTTGAAATAAAGCTACAACACTCTCTGGTTTCAAGGTTATATTCACACCCAAACTGGTCCGTACTAAACTTGTGGCTCAAGGACAATGGCTCAATTCAGAAAAAAACAAACCAAACTGCACAGAACCAAATCGTGTTGATCCGATCAAGCACTAGGATGAGAAGAAGGCTGATGATAGTCTCGCGGGATTTGGTGTATGTATGAAAGTAGGGGAGTAAGTAAAAACCAGTGATATTGTGATGGGAAATAGAATGGGGCTACTACACCAGGAAGATTTTATCTGAGACTTTTCACCACACCCCATCCAGTCACAACTCTGATCATGGGATCTAAATGGGTGCTTCGCAAAAGACTTTAATGCATGCATGTACGCCCCTAATGTTGTTAGCTCACGCTTAACATAAAAAAGAAGCTCCCCTGTGAGAGGAAACTGACAGCACTAGACTAGAGTAGAGAGTCACTAACAGGCAAAGAAGTTGGGCGAGTGTGCTGATGGCAGCAGGAATGCTGCCAGACAACTGGTTGCTTGAAACGGCTCTGAAATGAAGCCAGATTATAAAATACCACTGGGGTTATAGTGACGTTGTAGCATACAAGAGAAGACCAGACTGAAGCGAGGGAGGACAGCGATGAGGTTGGGTAAGACCATACAAAGGGTGATTAGCATATGAAGATGGTCGTCCTTTGGAGAAGACGAGACGAGGCAAAATGCTAGAAGAATGTGAGGCAACACGAATATTGGAATTATGATATTACGACATCCACTTGCAGAAAATATCTTGTGAGAATTTGATCACAAGAAAGAAGATAAGATCTCAATGAAGGGAAAAGGAAGTGATCAATCGAAACAGGGAAGTGAAGGGATATAGGGGAGAACTGAGGGAGATAAAAGAGGTCGTGCTATACTGAAAAGGGGGGGAAAGAGTCCTGGGAGAGCACAGGAGATGTGAGAAGAACAACAAAAGCGTATCTTCTTACATATTTGTCAACTTGGTGAGGGCGCCAATGTCTGCCGGAATGGAGCCGTTGAGCTGGTTGGAGGCAAGCGACCTGTCCCAATCAGGGTGTTCAATCAAGGCATGAGCAAAATCCGTGTCGTGTGCCTTAAGACTTGAAGGCTTGAAGAGCGCGGTTCTGAAACTCTCCACCCCCATCTGGTGCGCAAGTGGTTTTGGTTCGGTTATTGCTCATGCCTAGGAATGTGGGCGAAGCACCTACAATGGATCCTTACATGGCTACCAGCTTTGTCAGCAAGCCAATGCCAGCGGGGATGGAGCTGGTGAGCCGGTTGTTAGCGAGGGAGCTGTCCGAGACAGGGAGACGAGGGACACGTGGGAGGCGTGCAAGGGCGATGGACAAATTGGTGAGAAGGAAGGTGGGACGGTGATTATTAGCATGAGAGTGGACATGAGGAAGGATCAATCGGGTTGGCCCATTTTGAACCTCACCAGCCTGATGGCCAGGTGGGGTTCCAATCAGCCATGGGCGGTTCGTCACAGGGTTGCCCGAGTTTGGCCTGAATCACAAATGCTGTAAACGGACTTTCCAAGGCTTAACTGTTCTGTGAACGAATGTTTGAGCACATAAATGGAATAAAACGATGTGGTTCAAACACAGAGAATCACTGTCTTCGGAAAGCTGCCCACCTTGATTTGTGCCGGCCCTGCCCTGGCTCAGCCCTTGATCGTA